TTTTATCTCTTTACTCAAGGTGAACTCAATTTTTTAGGTGAATTTTTTTACACAGACGTTGCTTATTATCGGCTGAACCGATGTTTCCGCAACCGCCGGTTTGGCATCATCGCTAGGTTTACTATCTGCCGGTGCCGATATCCAAAGAAGACCGTGTAGAACGAAGAAAAATGGAAAAAAAAATTACATGAACGGGCTTGACAACTGATTCTAAACGGTAATAAGAAAAAATTAGGGCTGTCCGGATGCATCCATCAATGAATGGATGGAATCTTCGATAATTGGAGGCATGGTAGGTTTCATTACTCCTTGCGAAGGTCACACATTCCCCCCGCACCTCCCGATCACAAGTGTGAGATTATAGCAATAATGAGCAATCGAAATAGCTTTTATGATCGCAGACAACACGGGCAGCCATTTTCAAAGAAGCGCCAAGTCCACAAGCCCCTGCTGTGATGTAGACTGAGTCCAATGAGGCGCATGCGTATTTTTCGAGAGCTCTCTTTAATCCTTATATGGCTTACAGCGCGATCCACGATATAGAAGCGATTTCAGCAGGGGTTTCAACGTGTTAATGTTTAGCATGTGTACATGCCACGGGATCTGAAGAGGTTACATTTATCTCACGACTGACACAATTGCACCCTGTATTAGCTACGAAAGTCCACGCTCATGTTGCAAAAAGACAACCGCTGCAAGGAGTACTATGGAGGTGGATACAGGGATGCTCAGGAGAGCAGCCGAACTCTAACAAACAGCCATGGAGAAATTGGGCTCTTGTGGGGTCCGTGCCCAAAATTTCTTTCCACAATCCTTGGCTCGATAGAAAAAGAGTGGAGAAAGAGAAATTTCCACATAACGGGGATAATTCACTGGGAAAGTTGGTAAATAATGTGCTGCTGTGCTGCAATCCGAGCCTGTGGACGTAAACCAAAACCGACTGTGTCAACTGTCCCATGAAAGGCAGACGATAAAAAAAAATTGGGGAAAATGTTAAAGGGGAAGAGGAGAGGCACGGCCGCCCAAGGCCATGCGAACGGCCTATGCTCATTCCCTGAAGTCTGGACTGATACATAATCACGCATAATGTGCATATATCGAACGGGTTGTGTGACTATGTGAAAAGTAGTCACACAGGCACAACCCGTTCGCAGATAAGCGTGTGTGGGTTAAGTACCACACTAGTATGCTGATTGTCCTTCGTAGTTGCTGTGGTCGTCGTGTTCCATAGGTGTGCATATTATATCCTGTATTTTTTTTTCTGAGACACAGTCCAAAATGTAACATGCTTTTTGGACATATGGTATGGAACAATTGCATGAATACAAGCAATCGTAGACATGAAGGGAAGTCGCATTGAGCAAATGTAGAAAATGTAGCAAATTGAGCAAATGGTGGTGGTCAGTGGCGTAGGCAGAAAATCGGCAAGGGGGGATTGAGGCCAGGTAGACACCCCTACCCTACGCTTAGTTCCACCACCCGGAATTTACTTTTTTGAAGAAATCGTGGTCTGACATCTTGGGTCTGTGGATGGACATTGGACTTTCCTCGAAGGGGGATACCTAAAACTGGAATTCCCAAGGAAGGCTGAAATATACCTGTCTGTCACTGACCAGGAAGCCAAGGGGGGGGAAAAGGGGGGGTTCTGACCCCCTAAACCCCCCCTTCCCTACGCCACTGGTGGTGGTCATATCCGATGACCCTACATTCCTCAGTTTGAATATTATAACTGTCTGAACGCGATAAGAAACGTTATACTAATCCTGTATTAAAGTTGCAGTTATAAGCATCAGTTTCATTTTTATTTTAGTCAAATGGACGTCCAACGTATTTATTATTATTATACATAATCAAAACAGGGGCATGCCAAGGTTAATCTAAGGAGAAATTTTGTAGTCTTCTGAGTTCGTGACGGGGTGTGATCTCACAGAGGGAGAAAGCCATACTAGATACAAGAGCAGTAATATAGCTGGTGCGATTGGTTTGGTGCGTAGAGTGTAGGCGGATTGACTGAGTAGAAGGGAGAATGATGTAGCTTGAAAGATTTCATCCTCTGGCAAACTAATCAGCTTCCATTCTTCCTCCCAATCTCCCTCTCAGGCCCTCCCTCAATAGGCCCTCTTCCTGGGTAAAAGGAAAGCCTTCCCAATCCCGCCTGGTAAACTCAACGAGATTCTCTTAGCCTTCACGGTCCTCTTTGACGCTATATTCCCGTTATCGGTCTTCCTGAATTCATGAAATTTCTTCAATCTGCTCGGTTTATCGCCGAATCGAATATTTTTCAGAATCTACTAAGCAAAGCAATAACGCACTGATTCCGGAAATTTCTTCGTGATCCCATTTGTCAGTGCTTGGGGTACCAACCCGGAAGATTTTTGTACCCCGAGGACAGCTTACTCTCTAATCTACGCAAATCTACCGCTAACAGCATGATATATGCCATACATTTGCTTAAATTCTCCTTGGAATCCATCCAGCCCAGCCAGGAGCTTTAGAGGGAAGGATATTAGGCCTCTTCGCCCACGCACATGCCTGCAATACTTTCTTGCGTTATGACTTCCTGACGTATGTTCCTCTGGTGCTAAAGTATGCAAATGCTGTGACGGTAGGTACCTCTGAGGTTTCGATTTCATGCTTTATTCATAAAAAAAAACGCACGCAAGTCCAATATCGAAATGTGCTACCCGAGTCTTGCATTCACGTTTTCAATTCTTGTATGATTGTTTCAAGACTAAATCGAAGCAATAAAGGGGATCTGGGGATGAGTTCACTGCAAATTCCCGCGAACCCTTCACCGTCAAATTTTCGGGAAGATAAGTTTGATTGTCAATTCAACAGTACTGGAAACTCGGCTTACTTTTGTGCTGCATTACAGATAGACACGATGAAGTTTCGAATCCATCAGGCAAGCTTCTTCATCATACTTGCAGAGTTGGACTTCAGTCACATTTGGACAACACGGGGAATGCAGACGTAGATATTCCAAGGCTGGATAATAAATGAAGAGTATTCATCTGTCACCGTCATCATCATCCCTGGCCTTCCATATCGGATTTTCGTCAGCACCTCATCAAGGACTCCTAATCACTTCTTCCTCTCTTCATTTTTCCCTCTCTCCCTCTATCGAATACAGTGGATCGGTTGTCTATATTGAAGGCATGGCGATCCATCATGTGCGAGGCATTAGTGTCGGGATTCCCCCGGGAGATAATGGGACCCTGACCCTTATAGATGGTGACATGGAATCGACATTAGGGACAGGACTTCTCTCTCATCACCGGCAAGGCAGGAAAAAAAAAGATCGTTTCACGGATCTCCCATTTTCTGGTTTGTTCGATGTGCTTTCACTGTTCGATTTATTGCTTTCCTTTCATTTATTTATCATGGAAAGTCTCGCTGCTATGTATGCTTTTGTCCATATCTGGATAAGATTTATTTATATCCCTCAAGCCGATTTAACGTTTATAAAGGCTACGTGCCCGTAGGCAAGGGGAAAACTGCCGCGCAAAACTGCGTGGGCTCTCGCGTTCTTTTCATTTCATGAGGTTTTCTTCCCATCAATTCCTTGACGTCGTGAGTCCGTAATATCTGCCTTTAGAGGCGTACAGAGAAAACCTTAAGAATTCTTGGAAACATCATGAGGTACATTAACAATTTACATTCTATTCACAACTTCGTAGCGTAAAAACATTAAAGATTCCCGAATCGAGCGGTTAATCAATTCTAGGTTATTTACTTATGCAGGTGCACAGGGCTGTCTTACACTGCATTTTCCCATGAAAAATGAGTGTTCCTACTTTGGTCGAGTTCCCTGGAGAAAAATCCTGCGGGTATCAAAGACCTCTTCATTTTCGACTGAGTAATTTGATCTAGTTGAAAATGAGGCTCTATTCACAGGATTTCCAGCACGAAAAAGAGGGAGAAGACGTTTCTTTCTTGACCTGAGTGATGGAAAGGCCCATTGAAAAATGCCCTGGGGAGTTTCATCTCTCCCAAACATCTTTTCACGCGGTTCTATTCATGCCATTCGAAGCGGAGAAGCCCCATTACACCATTTCACATTCATATCACGCGGGAAAATACCTTTGACACACAGGAAATGAATTGGGCCGGGATAGTTTGACGCATCGAGTGTATCCCAACCCCCCTCCTCGAATTTCCGTCGTAAATGAGCAGTATAAAGAGGGGGGAACAGAGCAGGGAGGGGAAAAAGTAGCCGAAGCTGACAATTTTCCATCAAAGCACGGGGAAGAACAATGGGGGGAAAATCCTAAGGGGAAAGGGCTTCTAAATCCCGCTTGAAATGGTAATGCCGTGCCAGCACGTGCTTTGAATCACCTCCTAGTCCCGTCTCGTCTCCCACCCCCCCCCCCCCCCCCCC